TTTTTTTTTTTTTTTTTTTTTTTTTTTTTTTTTTTTTTTTTTTGGCCACACTGTGTGGCATGCAGGATCTTACTTTCCCAACCAGGGGAAGGTGGGGTCCCCTGCAGTGGAAGGCGCCCCCTGCAGTGGAAGGTGGAGTCTTAACCACTGGACCACCAGGGAAGTCCCCTTTTTGTTTGTTTTCTAATGTAGTATTTCTTTCTTCTACTTTCTTTACTTTTAAAATATTTATTTATTTTCTTTATCTATTTAATTTTAATTTTTTTGGCTGTGTCCGATCTTAGATATACATGGCATGCAAGATCTTTCCTTGTGGCACGTGGGCTCTTCGTTGCAGTGTGCGGGCTTCTCTCTAGTTGTGGTGTGCAGGCTCCAGGGTGTGTGGGCTCTGTACTTTGTGGCATGCAGGCTCTCTTGCTGAGGTGTGCAAGCTCAGTAGTTGTGGCGCACGGGCTTAGTTGCCCCACAGTATGTGGGATCTTAGTTCCCCGACCAGGGATTGAACCGGCATCCCCTGAATTGGAAGGAGGATTCTTTACCACTGGGCCACCAGGGAAGTCCCTCTTCTACTTTATTTGGATTTACTGTATTATTCATTTATTTCTAAACTTCCGTTTTTAAACAAATTCACAAAAGACTATAACTTTTCCTCTTATTGCTATTTTGGCCACATCTGTTAGATTTTTTTTTTTTAACATCTTTATTGCAATATAATTGCTTTACAATGGTGTGTTGGTTTCTGCTTTATAACAAAGTGAACCAGTTATACATATACATATGTTCTCATATCTCTTGCCTCTTGCATCTCCCTCCCTCCCACCCTCCCTATCCCACAAATCTCTCTCTCATATCTCTTGCCTCTTGTATCTCCCTCCCTCCCACCCTCCCTATCCCACAAATCTAGGTGGTCACAAAGCACCGAGCTGATCTCCCTGTGCTATGCGGCTGCTCCCCACTAGCTAGCTATTTTATGTTTGGTAGTGTATATATGTCCATGCCACTCTCACTTTGTCACAGCTTAACCTTCCCCCTCCCCATATCCTCAAGTCCATTCTCTAGTAGGTCTGTGTCTTTATTCCCATCTTACCCCTAGGTTCTTCATGACCTTTTTTTTTTTCCCCTTGGATTCCACATATATTCTATCCACCTCATTACAAATAGCTCAATTTCGTTTCTTTTTATGGCTGAGTAATATTCCATTGTATATATGTGCCACATCTTCTTTATCCATTCATCCGACGATGGGCACTTAGGTTGTTTCCATCTCCGGGCTATTGTAAATAGAGCTGCAATGAACATTTTGGTACATGACTCTTTTTGAATTTTGGTTTTCTCAGGGTATATGCCCAGCAGTGGGATTGCTGGGTCATATGGTAGTTCTATTTGTAGTTTTTTAAGGAACCTCCATACTCTTCTCCATACTGGCTGTATCAATTTACATTCCCACCAGCAGTGCATGAGTGTTCCCTTTTCTCCATACCCTCTCCAGCAT